ACAAGAAACTAACCTACAAGCTGAAGTATAATTTTTCATTGACAACACCTAATATTGTAAGTTCATCGCCAATATGGTGTTACGGCAATATAGCAATACGTCATTACGGCATACTACAAAATCATGGTCCAGTGCCGCAATTGCTTTTTTTCCTAAAACTAATTAACAGGCAACTATATAATATTCCTTTTCTATAATAGACTATCAAAGAATTACAATGTTTAAATCATGCGCATGTCTGAAATCTACTTACTAAAAATACCCTTATAAAGATCTTTTCACAGTATCTAGCTCTGTAATCATTGTTTCCCCGTTTCTGGTTTCGCGCGACAACGTCGCGCAGCTACTTATTCTAGTAAATTAAGCCTTTATATGCATTTCGAATCGGATAATCAAATATATTGTACAAGGTTATGTACATATCGTATTAGTTATGAATTGAAAGGCGTGCTGACCACAGTTTACACGACGGTATGAAGTCCTATCATAAAAGAGCGATTTCTTACTAAACAAATAATGTAATGTAGTGTTGTGCTACAATAAATTTTTCCTTCGTTATTATTAATAATTGTATCTCATCTTAATTTATAGCGTGTGCTCGAGAAAAGCATTTAGAGTGTATCGCACCCTAACTAGCCGTGAGAACCTCACGCGGTACATACTAATTTGTGCAGCAATACAAATATTTAAAAAGAGAATAGCCAATCAGAAAGTGCAATGTTTGATCATTCAAGCATATGGCAAACGGAACTAGCGTTAATGTTTAAGAATCGACCTTGGGGACATAATTAAAATGTCGGAAAGAATTACGTAACATATAACAAGGTACTCATAACAAGTGTTAATCTTTCCTAAGGCTTCTAATCTTAACATCCTAACCCTGAATCTGTATCTTTATATACTTTTCAGAAGCTCTTGTTATTGATACAAATAGCCCTAATTACGAGACTGCTTTGGGCACGAATTTATCATAAAAAAAATAATAATAAAATTCATATTGATAATTTTTACTAAGGTAATCTATTTTCTAAGAGTGCTAGAAACATATAATCATATTAATTATTGAATTCTGGAAGTTTGAACGGGACATGCCAAAAGGCTTTGAACCTCATGTCCCTGGCTTTGGTCCTGATTTGGATTAAATATTAGGTTGCTATTCGCAGTACAGCGGTTAATTTTACTAATGGACGAAACAATAACCCTAGAGGAATCGAGGCAGAAGAAATCGAGGTTTGTTTATAGATGAATTTTTAATTCAAAAATTCCGTCTACATTACCGTTTTAATTTTGTTGTAGGTAGAGGAGTTGTAAGTGGGAATACTAATAATGACTTGCACCAGAATAACCAGAATTACAACAACAATGAGTGTCGTTCGCAGCGAACGAGTTTAATTTCTCAAGATTTAACGACTGCTGTTGATGCCGAGGAATTAGAACGACGTAAAAAACGTGCTGAACAATTCGAAAAGTTTTTGGATCCACAATAATTAGTATGTATAACATTATATGAACTTTTTGGTCTTTTATTGTATCTTTAATTATCTATATAAATATTCATTTTTTTAGACTTCAACAGGAATTGATGCTAATTTATCTTACAATAAAAGTAGTTCTGATAAAAGTAGTAGAAATGTCGACATCATTTCGAACAAAAATCCTAAACATGATGTTAAAGAACACATCATCACAGATGATTATAAAGAACCTACACAAATAGACAATGTATCAAATTTTTTTGAATTATTATTATTAGAGTTAAGATTAGTTGACCTCTTATCGTCTATGTCATCATCGCCTAATATCGTTAAGAGACAACCAAGACTGAAGGCTCATGACTGGTTTATCGAAAAATCTTCACCCATGAGACTATCCGAATTTGGATATTGTGATAAATTATTTTGATTATGGACATGGAATATAATAAGGAAAATTATGAAATAGAAAATTATGTGAATGAAGATAAGTGGGTGAAATTAGTGAATAATGGTCTGAAAAAATTAAGTATTGATTAGTGTGCTATATGTTATTAATAAAAAAAAATATTCATTGAATTATCAATATCAACTATGATTTTTTCCTATAATTAAATTAATGGTCTTAATTGTAAATACGTGTATGTTTTTATAATTACTTAAATTTTGACTTGGCCTATCGTACTTGTAAATTTTAGCTGAAAATTTTTTTATTTCAATTTTCAGATCTGGGTATTTTAAACTATAAAGTTATAACCTAATATTCTAACTTTTTACTCAAAATAAGCCTAATTAAATAATCTGAAAATTGGGCATATAAAATTTTTGTATATTGCGTGGAAGAATCATTTATTCCTTAAGACCAGTAATTGTATCCATTCATTCACAAATTAACAATTAAATTGCTATGAATAGACCACATAATTCGATAAGATATCGGAAGCCTATTTATAAACGTTCCTTACGGACATAAACTAAATACACTCTACCCTTGTTATAATGGTTAGTTGGGCTGAAATTCTGTCTGTTGCAATAATTTCGTTAAAGTATTATGTAGCATAATAATGATAAGGGGAATTTACAAATAAGGGCCCGGAAAGTGAAAATAATTACAAATACGGGTCCAAATTAAAAATAATTACATAAAAGGGCCTAATTTTTAAAAAATATTACATATAAAGCCCAAAATAACAGCGACATTATTCAATCCTATGGCTTAGAGTGGACGGGGAAATGTGATGTGCACATATGTGCATATGTGTCATGTTTTTCGCGAACCATATGTGAACATATGTGCTCGCAATATATAAATTTTCATTCGAATTCTTTGCCAAAAGAAGACATTAATATTTATCTTAATAAATTAAAACTATTCGAAATTAGTTTCGCCGTTAGCATTAGTATCTAAATTTAGTTTCGCCTTTTATCATTAGAATCTGAAATTAGTTTCGCCTTTTAGCATTAGAATCTGAAATTAGTTTCACCTTTAGCATTAGAATCTGAAATTAGTTTCGCTCAATCTTTAGTAGTTCAAAGTTCTCTGGAATTAGTTTCGCTTGTAGAAAAAATCAACAATGTAAAATAGAAATTTAATTTTACTCTTTGTACAACAATATAAGTTTCAAAAATTGCTAGTTAATATATAATAAAGTTCAAAAAAATAATTTTTGTGAATCCATTTTTTCAATTTTCACTTTTCAAAAATGATTACACCTAACAATCATGTTAATGAAAATGAAGAGTACAAAAAAACTTTTATATTGATGGTGAAAACTTATTTTGTACCTTCTGTAAATGTATTTTAAATTATAAAAATAAGTTTATACTTGATTAACATCTAAGAACTGATAAACATAAAACAAAAAACATAAAGTCAAAAAAAATCTACAAGAAACCAATAAACCAACTCACAAAACTAATACTTGTCAAGAAGAACATGATGTAATTAATATAGATTTAATTTATGCTTTAACTCAAGCTAATATTCTATTTGAGAAAGTTGATAAGCTTAAACCATTCTTCTTGAAGTACTGTAAAAATGATAAGTTAATTTTGTTAATGAAAATTCTAATTTGTTAAATTAATTATTATTTGTATAATAGGTGGTTCTCAACTCAATTACGTGGCAGATACTTGTCTATTGCATTTAATTCAGAAATTGAGAATTTAAAACTACTTTTAGTTGAAAAATAAATTTCAATTACTATCAATGAATCACCTGATATTTGTGGAAAAGCTGCTATAAATATATTATTTAATTTTTATAATATAACCAAACTAATTAAAACTGAGCATTTAGATGTTGTTAATAGTATTACTATCACAAAATTAGTAATGAAAACTTTTCAATTTTATAATATTCCATTTGAAAATATAATTTTTTTTATTTCAGATAATGCTTCCTATATGTTGAAAACATTTAGTACTTTATCTTTCTTAATAATTCAAATAAAACATAATTGTTATTTATACATATATTAAATTTAGTGGATGAAACATGGGTAAACCACAAAAATTTTAAATTATTAGATGATATAGTAATATAAATTAAAACCTTATTTATACATAATAATGTACATAAACAAAGATGGATTTTCTTTTTGAATTTACAAAATTTGGAGATTTTGTCAACTTTATCTCTATTTTCTGTTAAAACAAAATGGAATTCTTAGTTCAATTTTGTTTTTTTGATCAACAAATATTTTTTTCAACTAAAGAATTTTTATTTAAATGAGGAGCTTATTAGTAATAGTAATGAAAACAAGACAGTTCAAAAATTAATATCTATATTTAAAGATTTTGTATTTGTATTTGAATTTAAAATTTTATCTGCATTTATTACCTTTAATGCATAAAAATAATAATAACAGTTTTTTTTTAATTAAAAAAAAAAAATATTATTAATATATTTATTTTAATTTTATTTATATAGCTTTTTCAATGTATTGGGATTTTTCAAAATTCGTAACAAATTTGTAGCATCTTCTGTATTAAGTCATTTAATACAACTTGAAGCACAACTTCAATCTGGTACTGTTGATTCACCTTTAAATGATAAAATACTATTTATATTTAATACACTGCATATAGATTCTTCACAATATATACTTGAGTTTTAGGAAACATATCAGTCAATATTAAATAAGTTTAAAAAATATATTGATCAACATTATATTTTATCTTTATTTAAAGCAATTCAATGTTTTGATCCCTATTATTTTTACTTACAACAAAGTCAATAAAATATTAATTTGTACAAATGTATTCCCAAGTTTGAAAATCCAAGTTGTGTTATTATATGTGAGTAGGAAATTTATTATAAAATAGATGAAAATTTTAATGATGATAATAATTTTGATTTAGATTCTTATTGGAAAGAAAAACTGTACATCTTTCTAATTTGTTACAAATAGCTTTAGTTTATATTTGATTTCCTGTTTCGGGAGTTAATATTGAGTGAAGCTTCTCTGTATATAAAAATATTCTTACAAATAGAAGACAAACTCTTTCAGAAAATTCAATTGATATTCTAAATTTTATGTATTTTAATAAAATCGAATAAATTTGTCTAAATTGTATAAGTAAAATCCTTTGAACATGAACAAGAGAAAATAAAAATATTAATGATTGCATTATTTTGACATATTTTTGATGTTCAGATAACTCTGATATGACATAACCTTGATATAAATTGCAACTAAATAAATTTAATAAACTTAAACTCAGATTTGTAATTTCTTCCAAATATAGCTAACTTTCTTTAAAACATACTAGTATTTTGAAAGAAAAAAAAGGTTTCAAGAGTCCACACCACACAAAACATATAAAATTTAAAAATTCATGGCTTGTAAAGGTGTTCGCTCTACAGAATCAACTATAAATTTAATATACATATGTGCACATATGTTCACATATGATTTACAAAAAACATGACACATATGCACATATGTGCACATCACATTTCCCCGTCCACTCTACTATGGCTTGATCGTTATTACATAAGAATATAAGCATCGATAAATGTAACGATCGATTGTAAATTAGTAATTATAAA